TCGTTGATATTGTCTTTTGTCGCGTACCTCGGTCTTCTATATCTTGGTTAAGTGTTCAGTCACTTTGGACGTCACATTTTTGTTTTTCATTCGTCTCCTGCTTGTTTACTTTGAGTGATATGCTCCCCTTAGCTAAAGCATTTCTCTTGTTTCCCCCATCCATTTGAGTCAGTATGTTTGTGTGCTTTTGCCAAAGCACTTGTTTGCCTATTTGTTTGCTTAATTATTTGTTATACCATGTTCCCTTAGAATAGGAATTTGTATACTTCCATTAGGATCACTCGATTAGATTAGTTTTCGAGCTAGACATTATGATAGGTATCCGTGTATGCTAACATAGGGTAGAGATTCCCCTTTTAAAACTCAACCATATGACCAATCATTGTATGATAACATTAGGGATTAGATTCTAGGTTAGTCTCTGTTGTACCCCAAAATTTCCCCTCTCTTTTCTAAAGATATTTCTCACCAAAGATCATAGTCCATCGATGACGCTATCGAAGTTGCCTAAACAAAATGATCATAGTCCCTCAAGAAAATTGCCAAAATACTTGACACTATTGCATTCATGGTCTAAACGATGACCCGCACTCGTCCCGTTAAACATCCTAACACAAGGTTGTTCACCAAATACAATGGTGAAACAACACTGTTAAAAGGGTTAAAACATAAGAAAGATCTTTGAGAAATTTAGGGTAGATAGCTCTTGGTTACTTGATCAATCTTGCAAAACAATCCTTGCCATTTTTCAAAACACACATCACAACACAACTTCAAAACAAACTTTCAAAAACATTGAAACATCTTTTCAAAAAGACAAACACCTTTGTAAAACATTCGAGTAAAGAATTGTTACAATGGTTGCCTAGACAAGGCATCTTTTTCAAAATATTTTCAAAAACCACATACACAAAACACCATTTCAAGCAATTGAAAAGCAAAGGCAAGTGATTTAAAACAAGTAACTAAGAGCCCATGGATAACCATGGATGAAAAGGGTGCTAGCACCTTCCCTTTTCATAATCTACCCCCCGAACCCCCGAAAACATCTCAAAGGTCTTTCCTGTGCTTTTTGACATTTCCTTAGGATAAATAAAAAGTCGGTGGCGACTCTTGCTAAACCGAACAAGTGCGAAAACAAACGCAAAACCTCAAGTCAGTTCTCCCACCGTATCACAATAAGTCTTCCTCTACCTTTATCTATTTGACACTTATTCATCTAATCTACTCTTCTTACCACGTAATATATAAGTCTTCTCTATACATGTCCAAACTACCTAATTGTATCATCATCTTTTATATTATAGGTGGTACCCCCAATATTCTCTCTAATATTTTAATTTCTAATCTTATCATATATAGTCTTACCACACATTCAACCCAATATCCTTATATCTACTACACTTACTTTGTTCTTGTATTGATTATAAACCACCAAACATTCTACCTCATACAATAACACATGTTTATCTACAATCTGATAAAATTTTCTCTTCATCGTAAGCGATATCTTTGTGTCACGTAAAATTCATGAAGTTCTCATCCATTTCAACCACCTCACTTGAATTAAATGATTTACATCCCTTTCTATTTCTCCATCGTTCTACATTATTGACCAAAAATATTTAAACTATGTGATTTATGGGATGATATAATCTCAAACTTTTACCTCTACGTTAGAAACACTTTTTATTTGCTAAATTTACATTCTATATATTCCGTCTTACTTTTGTTTCGACAAAAATCATACAAATTTAATATATTGAAAAAATAAAAAATAACCATTTATTTTTCTTAAAAATTTAAATATTAATATTTGAACAGTATATTATAAATTTTCTTTTTAAATATCGTAAAGAAAATAAATTTCCAATTCATGAAATGTTATTAGTGTATGGTATATATTTAAAGACTACCGAACATTTTTTAAAAATTGCATGTGGTCTAGTGGTATATACAATACATTCCAACGTGTTCAATGTTTTGTTATAACCTTAAAGTAAAATATTTATTTTGGTTTCTTAATTATATTTATGGATGGAAATGGGCCAGATCGATAATAGAGGTTTACTATTTATTTTATATAGGTTTAGGTTAAGACCTAATCTACATAGGCTTAAGTCAGGTCTAGATTTTTTTATAAGTTTATTTAGTTAAAAATATCAGGTCTCAGGCTATGAAAAAAATCTTTTAGACCTAACAGATCGACATATATAAATAAATATGAATAATTTTTTTATTATCATTATGTTATATTTTATATTTTGAATCAAAATACATAAATACAACTTGGTTATGTTGGAGAACTTATGAAAATAAGATAATAACATTTTGTGAACAATGTTATAAGTTGTTTTCACAAGTCCTCTTAAACAAATAGTTTTGCAAAACATTTGTTAATTGATAAGTTAAAATAAATCAATGCAAACAAACTTTTAGTCTAATTATTTTTTAGTTTGTTAGTTTATTTAAACATTATTTAAATTGTTTATTTACATGTCTAAAATAATAAACTTTTATGTAGGTTAACAAACTAATTATGCCTTAGTAAAGACCAAACTCAGATTTAGGCTTCATTTTTTTTGGCAGACCAGACTTAAACTTGACAAAGCTTAGTTTGACCAACCCATTTTTATCCCTAACTATTTTGAGTTCATCTCTTAATTTTTTCTGTGTCAACTTGATTATTTAACTTTCAAAATATTTCATTTTAGTTTTTTGTCTAATTAACGATGAATTTAACGATTAATTTCTAAACTTTTTCGTTGTTAATTGGACACAAAAATTTAAAATAAAATATTTTAAAAATTAAACAATTAAATTGACACGAAAAAAAATTAAAAAATTAATTTGAATCTAATAATATAATTAAGTGACCAAAATAAATATTTTATTTAAATTTAATTTTCATTTGCCTTTTCTATTTTTTTAATCAACACATTCATAAACAGCTTACTCGACACACAATCCTTTTCCATTTCAAAAACTCTCTCTCATCCATTCATTTTAAATCCCAACACACCATTTCATCCTTATCCACTCACGCCCATGTAAAACAGCAAAACCATCTTAATTTTTTCTCAAATCCCAAACTACCCTTCCCTTTGCTCAAAACCCCAAATTACCCCTCCCAATCTTCTCACGAAAGCTTCTCCCAATTTTATATACTACTAGTACAAAACATTAAAGTAATAATTAACTAAAAAAAGAAAGGACAATAAAAATCATATAAATTTTTAATTATAATATTTGATGAAAAACGTTAAGAAAATTAAGAAATCTGAATAAAAGAAATAGAGTAAACAATAAATAAGTAAGCGCGAAACTTTCTTTGAATAATTCAAATCCCCCGCGTGGTTTCCCTCTTTTCCGCACATTTAATATCCCAAACAAACCCTCCAAATATTTTAAAATTCCCCCGCTCCAATTTTCACTCAACCTTTATTTAAACCCTTCACCCCTTCACTCCTCTTCACTCAAAACTCAAACCCTAAAAAAAACCCTTTCTCACTTCTCAAATAATCACTTTTTCTCCATTTTCAAATCTCAAACCAAACAATGCCTGCTTATCCAGAAGAACCCCTTCTCGCCCCTAACCCAGACCGTTTCTGCATGTTCCCAATCCAATACCCTAAAATCTGGGAAATGTACAAGAAAGCCGAAGCCTCTTTCTGGACCGCCGAAGAAGTCGATCTCTCCCAAGATAACCAGCACTGGATCTCCCTCACCGATGGTGAGCGCCACTTTGTTTCGCATGTCCTTGCCTTCTTTGCCGCCTCCGACGGAATCGTCTTGGAGAATCTCGCCGGAAGATTCATGAAAGAAATCCAAATCTCAGAGGCGCGTGCCTTCTACGGATTCCAGATCGCAATTGAGAATATCCATTCAGAGATGTATTCTCTTCTCCTCGAGGCGTATATCAAAGATTCAGCAGAGAAGAATCGTTTGTTTCACGCGATTGAGACGATTCCATGTATCGCGAAAAAGGCGGAATGGGCGATGAAATGGATCGATTCGTCTGATACATTCGCTGAGAGGATTGTAGCATTTGCTTGCGTTGAAGGTATATTTTTCTCCGGTAGTTTCTGTGCGATTTTCTGGCTCAAAAAACGCGGTTTAATGCCGGGATTAACTTTTTCAAACGAGCTTATTTCACGCGACGAAGGTCTTCATTGCGATTTCGCTTGTTTGCTTTACTCATTATTAAAAAAGAAACTCAGTGAAGAGCGCGTGCAGATGATTGTGCGTGACGCGGTTGAGATCGAGAGGGAGTTTGTGTGCGACGCGCTTCCTTGCGCGTTGGTTGGGATGAACGGTGATTTGATGAGTACGTATATTGAGTATGTTGCTGATAGGTTGTTGGGGGAGCTTGGGTGTGGAAAGATTTATAATGTGACGAATCCGTTTGATTGGATGGATCTGATTTCGCTTCAGGGGAAGACCAACTTTTTTGAGAAGCGCGTTGGAGAGTATCAAAAGGCTTCGGTGATGAATAGTTTGACTGATAATGGGACTGATCATGTTTTTAAGCTTGATGAGGATTTTTAGATCTGGAATTTAGGGTTATCTACTACTAATATTTATATTTAATTTTTAATAATTGTTTCTGTCATTGTTCTCTCACCATTTTATGGCTGAGTTTTTAAGCAAGTTCGTAGCTTTATGATATTGTTTCACTTTCGTGTAAAAAAGCTGTTTACAATTTTAATGAATGTACTGTTTCTTCGATTATTCTCGATGGGTGTAATTTTTCCTTATTTAACTGAATATTGCCTCTCGCTTGTTGGTTTATTTGGTAAAATTGAAATTGGGTTTCTCTTATTTAAATTAATAATTATTTATTTAAATAATTGTAACTGTTGAAATGTGTTCAAATTTTAATTTGGGAATTAAGAAAGCAAATTTAGGGCTTAAAATATAAGTTTTACACGAGGGTTAAAATTCTTGACATAAATAAGATCATTCGGCTTGCTTTCACAGCATTGTTCTGTGGATCTTTAATGGCTTCTGGAACGCAGAGCAGTGGAATGTTATCCAGAGAACAACTTTTCCATCTTTTTGAGCGATTCGCTATTCTTACTACCCAGCCAGGTACCCTAATTTTGTTTTCAAGGGTTATGTATCTGTTTTGAATTGGTTTTTTTCATCCGCTTTTTGATTTAGTTGCAATATGGTTGTGTTGTGCTGTGTGGTATTTGAAGATGTGAAGAAAAGCATTGTCGATGCTGTTCTGGATAAGCAGGTGGGTTTCTTCTGGGTATTTGTTTTGGGGGTTTGTGTCTGTTCTTTTTCTTCTTTTCTCTGTTGGTTCTCAAATGGGTTTTGATTTAATTGGGCATTTCACAGAGAAAAGATAGAGAAGTATAGATAGAGACCATGCATTTTCAAAGTTTCTTAAAATGTTGAATCTGTTTTCAAAAGTTGCAAATGAAAGTGTTGAAGGGAGTATTGAATGTGTTTTTATGGTTATGAGTTCAAGCAAAAATGAAAACTTGAAGCATAGGCAATATATTTTTGGCTAGCATCTTTGTATGGGGTTGGGCTTTAGTTTATGAATGAACAATATCTGAATGCTTTTCTTGACAAGTCTATATGAATCATGGTTTTAAATTGTGGTGGCGGATGCGGTTACGGTTGTTGTGATTGCGATTATTGCAGTTGCTGCGATGCGCATTGCAGCTGTTGCAAGGTGAACCTTTTTGGAATATACCATTAGAAAACCTTTGATGTTAAGATATTTCGCAAATTGAGATTTTATGGTTCTGAAATTTTGAATTTTGATAAAAATACTTGAAGAAACATGGGAAAAATTGTCTGTAATTTCTAATGGCGGTCGGATGCATGATTCTAATTCACATCGCAATTGCGGTCCGATGTGGTTGCGGAGGTAATCACATCAGAAATATTGCAGCCGCAATTGCAGTTCTGGACTGCAATTTAAAACCATGATTTGAATGCTTTAGTATCAAATAAACAGTTAAACACCCCAAGTCAGTTTCACATTATACTTTAGTTTCTATATGTTATAAAAGTTGATTTGTAAAATGTTTTGCTGCAATTTTTATGGAATTTATAACCGATGAGCAGGAGGCTGTTGCTGTGACAACTGCTATACAGGAGGAAATATTTCTGGAGATGGATATTGGTATGTTTAATTTGTATTGAATATACTTGTTATTTAGGTTGTATTTTGGATTTTGATTCTTGATGCCTAATTTTCATGTCATTAATCTGCATAGTCATTGCATTATGTGTTTAAATTCAACTTAGCTGCCTGCTGTGCTTGTCTCACAATTCACTCCTTCCTATATACGCGTGCTTTATAGATTCTTTACGGGATATTTGCCTTTAAGCCATTGAAGAGACATAATCATAAAATTTTGAACTCTTGGTAGTCGATGTAGTATTAGGTTTTTGAGCATACAAACTGAGTTAATAGCAGCCAGCCTCTTCAAGGTTCACAAACCTCCCTTTTTTGTCTTAGTCTGCTTATGCATCTATTGAAAGTCCAAACCCTGAATGTGGTTCTCTCAACAGAACCTTTTGTTTTCCCTGTATTTCTTTGCTTAAAAAGTTTTTTCTAAACATAGCCTAAGTTTGAGCTTATTGTATTAGGGTACCCTGAATTTGTGTACAAGTTCAAATTTGTTTATGTGAAGCTTTATTGTAACTCCAGCATTGGTTTGTGTTCTTACATGAAATTTAGCATCTGAGATTTTTGGTTCTGTGCAAATCACCTGTTACAACATCTCAAAGGGTGATTTCACTTTCGGTTATTCACAGTTCAGCTTTGATCTGAACTCGTGATTTTGATTGGCTTTAGTGGAAGTGAATGAGGCATTAATCAAAAGCTATTGTAGAGAGACGAGTTGAGCTGGCTTGAGTTGTGCAATTTAAATAATTTGATTTTGAATAAGTAAAGCATTTAAAGATTATTATGAGGAAAAACAAAAAAAGTGCAGAGTCACTACTTATGCTGTTTATGGTTCTCTGATTTTTCTTTGTCAATTATAAATTCGTATTATGACCAAACACCTTAAGGTTCGATGTTCGGTAACAGATGAGTTAGAATTCCTTTATCCTGTTAAATAGATGCCTGTAAAGGTGATATAGGGACATCAAATTTTGGTTTAGGAGCTTAGCTCTGGTTTAGGAGTTCATAGAACTCTTGTTTTTGCATTCTATTTTCTGTTTCCCACCACTGTAAGAGCTTGAAGCTCACCATTTTCACCTTTTCAGCCAATAAAGTTTAGTTTTGTCACCTTAGTTCTGAGTTCTATCATGGATCCGAGCTGCCGGATTGTCAAGGGAGAGCCAGCATTTGTGACATTCAAGATGAATGAAAGAATTTGACGCGATGGAAGCAAGGCGGAGTTTCATCAATTGTTACAGCCAGAGGTAGCAATTAGCAAAGCCTTTGAGGAGTGTCCATCAAGGAGGATTCTGGTGACGATGGTCCCTCATTTTCCAGCAATATGTCATTGGGAGGAGGGAAGATCAGCGCTCATGTTCTACCGGAGGAGACCTTTTCTCAGCAAGTGAAGCAGACTAAGAAGGAACCACCACACTATCAATGGCGGAAATCCTTCACACGAGTATCCCACGAAGAAAAGCAGTGAAAGAATTTGAGGCATGCGTCAAACTGGAAAAGTCAGAAAATGAAGGAACCAATTAGATAGTTGAAAGGCAACATGTGCACAGATTGAACTTCCAACCCGTGTTGGAACCATCGGACGCCAGTAAACTTCCAACGGCACTAATGTGGCGCGTTCCTCTGTATCAGAGAGGTTCTGTGAAAGGGGAGGAACAAGAGAAAACCAACAGGGAGGAGAGGAAAGTTGCAAGCAGGACACGTCGAGCCACTGCCAATCTTGGAGTTTCTGGGTGCCTTCGTGACCATCAGAGAGTGGTCGAGTCTGTGGGCGTCATCACTGGTGCAAGCAGAGTCTCAGGCGGTACGCAAGGAAGAAGACAAAATGAGGGAGAAAGGAGTGTGTTCTGAGTTACTGGAATTGGGTCTGAATAAGGCAAGGGAAGAATTGAAAACTGGTGAGTTGAAATTTTTTTTTGACCTAATAGGCATAGGCCCACCTTTGTTATTAGTTTTGATATTGGTTTTAAAAAGTGGGTAAGGTCACATTTGAAGCAAACTGTCTGGACTGTGTTTGAAAGTGAATATTGATCCCAAATTACTAATGAAGGGAAGGCAGGTCAGAAAGAAAGGACAATAACAAAGTGGGAATCGATGAGTTCGGAAGAATAATAGGGGTGGCGCTATGAATGGGACTTGGTTTTTATAGCTAGCTTTTAAGGGAGTTCCCTAAGTGCTTGAATAATTAGAGTTCAGCAGTGCAATAATCCACCAGAAACCTCTCCTCTACTTCATCCAGTGTTTTGACTGGAAATGTTGCCTTATACATTATAGGATATCTTATAATTGCTATTTATTTCCCATCTTGATTAAATTTCAATGCAAGCTCGTTGGAGTTTTCCTTAGTTCTCATTCCATGTCACACTCCATTGCTGCTATGTAAAAACCAGGAAACTGGAGTTCATATAACAAGGGAGCAAAGCAAAGAAGAATGAAATTGTATTTTTGCAGTGAAAGTAGGAAAATGAATTATTTTCCAATTTTTCCACGTAAAAAGATGCTAGGTGGTGTCCAAAAACTAGATGGAAGCCATGCCACCACATATACTAAGCATATCAGCCATGTCAACACATTAAAGAGAACTCAACATTTCACGTATGGCAAGTTATCGATTGGACCACATTTGCATAATTTGAAAATTGATAGGATCAAAATCGAGCAAATAAAAATATAGGGATCATAATTCATAAATGCACAGGTCCTAAACTAAGGGGCGTAAAAAAAGGGAGATCGAGCTAGAAACTTATGGCATTTTGATATCTGCGGGGGGAAGGTTGACATTGATATATGCACGCGTTTTAAATTTCTTCTCTTTATTTTAGTTTAGGGTAGCTGTGGGGTAACTTCTGACATTTTGATACTCAAATTAATATATGCAGAATCTTGATAGTTATTTATTCTGGTGATCAATGTAACAAGTTGTCGGTTTTTTTAATACTGATCATTTTTGAGGATGTCTTCTGTTTGATACGTCAACTATATGTACATTTTGCCATTATTTATTTATTTATTTATTTATACAACAGACCCAAGATTTGGTATTTCATGCCTGGGAAAAATCAGTACTGAATATGAGAATGACCGAGATTTGATGATTGAGTTTTATAAATTCCTTGCCAAGTAAGTCATCTCTATCGTGATGTGTAGCAATAACTCATTTCGATCCTTTTAACATTTTTTCTTTAATCCTTTGCGCTATTCATAAAAGTACATGCCATGTCAATCTATGAATTGTGAAATGGCAGAGAAGAGATGGCCTGCGATGAAGCAGAGCTTGGAGAAGAAGAATTTGCAGAAAAAAAGAGCTATCAACAAAACTTACAGCAACAGGTAATATTTTCAACTTTATGTTGAACTTTTTCGGTACTTATACGTGTACACTTCTAATATTGAGAGAGTAAATCTTCACAGCAACTTGAGATGCTGCGGCACATGCGCAAGTTTAACTTGGATGATCAATCTGCAATCCTTGAGAAGGTGAACACTAGCTTATCTAGTATCATAAGAGCTTATCTAGGGGAATTTACCAAAACAACTTATGGCATGTTCATACGCGGTATTCAGCTTATGACATAAGTTTTCAACTCATAGTTTATATAAAAACAAATTAATTAGATTGATTTTCCAGTTACACCAGCAGATGCAAAATGGCAATTATGAAAGTGAGACATCCATATTGTCAGCTGAGCAGATGGAAGAGATGGTTCAAAGGAAGGTGACCCCTTTGTTTATGCCAAGTTAGACCCAGAATCTGCCCTTATCATGGACCCAAAACCTGTCAACTATTTTGTATTGGCCTATTCCATAATTTGTGATATGTATTGTTTAATTGGCTTATTTGCCAAAATGCATATTATTCCATGATGTGCGGTGTTTTTGCTTCGCTTCATTTAACACTCTTTTTACATCCCTGATTTTATTTATTTATTTATTTTTTGCATTTTCTTCATGAACGGGAGCTAAATTTTTTAAACTAGATTCTAGTAAAATACGGGTATGGGTGCCGATATATCTAGATTATTGATGAAACATATATGATTCATTACCTATTGAAACAAAACTAATTTATTTTTAACGCATGATTTATTAAAAGTGCATTACAATTTGGAAGTTTTAATAGAGCTTTGGAAAAACTGAATTGATGTACAACGCACTAGCAACTCAATTTGGATTCTTCCAATTTTTTTAGCTTGATTTTTTAAGTTTGATTTTATCTCAAATAAAATTAAAACACTAATTTAGTATAGGATTAATAGCTATTTATCCCCTGTTATATAGGTCATTTTTGAAAAATCTCCCTAGTAAACAAAAATCACATGATTTTCCCTAATATTTGAAAATATTCTCTCAAAATTTTAGGTAGGCTAACTCATCAAAAATGATGATGTGACAATATTTTTCATTTTTTCTCTCCATTTTTTTATATTTTCACTTGTGTTTAGTGACTTTTACTTGGACAGTTTTACCCTTAGTTGAGAAACAAAACTTCTTGATAAAGGTTGTCCACCCGGGTTGTTCGAAACCCTAATCCCTTTCTCCTTCCATCTTCACCTTTTCACTTCTCACATGTTCTATCGTTCTCACCTGTTCTTTCGTCTTCCTTCTTTGGCAGTTTCAATCAAGATCAATGAAAACGTCAGATTGTTCACAGTCAAACATATCTTCAAACGGCAGAATAATTCTGAAATGTGGTCATAATCTCTCCATGAAGTTGTTTGTTTCAAAACCAGTTGCAAATCCTGATAGTAAGTATTGAAAGTGAAAGTTTTGGGGTAAAGAAGATGATTGTCAGTTATTCCATTGGCATAATGAGTTTTTTGGTGAAAGAGAAACAAACACAGATGGGGAAATGTTAGATCTAATGAAGAAATTGGACAAAGATTTTGCGATCATCGTGTCTTCATCATTCAATCCCGAGGTCGGTCGACGAAGACACGGGCATCATCTTTCGGTCCAGCCTATGCAAAAGACGAATGTGATCGTCCAAATTAACAATCTTCCTCACTGAAAAATGGGATGAGATATAAGTACCATGGTTAGGAGTAGCGGCGTGCCCGCAGGGGGTGTTGTCGCGACTTTCGTGGTTGTACTGTAGAGGTATGCTCACGAAGGACAAAGTTTCGCTCGCTCTCCACTCGGGGAGTCAAAAAGTTTGGTCGGCGTTTGCTTGCTAGGCCACATGTCGCAACATTTAATGCACAATGATGGCCTAGGGGTAGGGGTCATTATGACCTAAGCACGTAAGTGGGTGCGCGTCGAGGCACTGACACGCCACCCGATGCGACATTTCGTCTTCCGTGCAAGATTTATAAATCGCGAGGTCAAAGTTTCATTTGCAACATTTGCTCTCCCGCTCACCTTTCTTCTTCCGATTGTTTCTCGATTGCCGCTGCCGCTGTACTCCGCCGTTTCTAACCCTGCACAACCCTCTAATCAAGTAAGTCTTTTTCTCTTTCTCTGCGATTAGTCGTGTTTTTATTCTTCTCCATACGTATGTTTCGCGTATGAGTTTCGTGCTCCAGGGTGGTTCTTCCCCGTCAAATTCGTAGATTCGTGATGAACTTCATATTCTGGGAATGTTCCATCCCGCAAAACTCATAGATTCACGGTGTTCCCCGCGACCTGTATGTGTTTTCCCGCGAGATTCATGTCCTTGCTCTCGAGATTCATGTCCTTGCCTGCGAGATTCATGTGGACCTTTATCAGTTGTGTCCTCAGCTTTGGAGGATTAGTCCTAATTTACTTTGAACCATCTAGCTAGGGTTTCGCGTCAAGGACTTAGCACTCGTCTTGCGATACGCCCTTTCACTTGACTTGCGGCGGAATAATGGATTTGATTTGAACGTCAAATTCATATTTTTCCTCTGCTTTTTCAGGTGAGATGGTCGAACCTGTCGAGAATGTTTAGATAGTCGACTCAATTACTGACCCCAGCTGAATTGGGTTGCTCATGAGCCTCGAAGCATAACTTCTCGTTATGCTACATCTTTGGATGACACATTCATACATGTCAATAAGGGGTCGGAGGATCTAAATATCGTTAAGCATTGGAAAGTTGTTAAGCCCACCGCGAGCAAAAGGATATGCTCGTTCTACTCGAGGAACTGCATCTCCATGTATGAATTCGTCTTTAAAGAGGCGGGGCTTCGATTGCCCTTCAGTGATTGAAAGTGTGAAGAAAACGCAAGAAAGGGGGGGGGGGGTTTGAATTGAGTTTTCCTTTCTTGAATAACTTTAGCTTCTAAGCATTTATTCGTTGACCAATGCTTCTGAGTGTTACTTCTAAGTAATGCTTCTAATTAAGTTAAGAAAACATAAATTCTAAAGCATAAGTAAAAGTAAAGAACACACGATATATCCTGGTTCACTTGAGAAAGCCCCAATCTAGTCTAGTCTACCCTTCTGAGGTGATTTCGCCTTGAACTCAAGGACTTAATCCACTATAACCAATCTGATTACAATTGCACGAGCAACCGCCAGTGACTAATATGCAATGACGCGTTCAGGGATCCAAACCGGATATAACATTCATTGACCCATCAAAATTCTATTCTTCAAATCTCCTATTAGGATTTCCTTCCAATGATATCCATCAGTGATCCCAGAAGGCTGACCTTTACTCAGTCTCCTTTGAGATATGACTACCATTGATCTAATAGAATCTACTACCAGGATTTCATCTACGATGACCGTAACCAAAGTCTTCTCAAATCTTTTGATCTTCATCCGATCACTTGAGGAACCAACCAATTCTAAATAGAATTATTTTTCTGGAGATTACATCAGTGCTTCTTATCAAGCAGATTAATCTTAATTTAAGTACATATTGTTTGACATAATTGTGAGTGTGATACAGTGGAAGAACCGACTGTTATACTGGTTTTGCATTTTGTATTCGCAAATGTCGCGGTAAGAAAGAGTCGCCACCGACTTTTCTTTTATCCAACAAAGGAAAGGGTGAAAAGAACAGAAAAGACCTTTTTCGAGATTTTATGAGTAAGAGGGGTAGATTATGGAAAGGGAAGGTGTTAACACCCTTTCATCCGTGGTTTTCCACGGGCTCTTAGGTACTTGCTCAATTTTTAAAATTGCTTTCGTGTTTGTGTGTTTTGAAAAGTTTTGTTTGCTTTATGATAACTCTTGTATCAGTCCTCAAGAGTGTTGATAAAGAGTTTTTGAAAAGAATTTTGAAAGTGTGGTGTGAAAAAGTTGTTTTTTGAGCAAGTACTTAACATCCATCTACCTACTCGAAAAAGGCGTTCTTTTCCTCCTTTCTTTTAGATAGTGCTATCCTACTATTAGTGAGTAGGTAGCCTTATTGTTGGGTGTTGAGGGACTATCGAAGGGACGTTTACGGTCACTGAGGCAACTGGGCAAGAACTCTTAGTAACTGTCCTAAAGTTCTAAGATCACTTTTTTAACCGAGGAAACAATCGAGAGGGTCATCGAGGGACTTGTGATCTCTTTAACTAAAGGACAATCACTAAAAATACTCACGTTTCGAGAATTGTGACTGTTTCGAAGGCAACCAAAGTGGGAGATACCCTAGGGGTGAGCATGTGCAAGTGTGCTTTTTTTCCAGGTATTTTCATCTTGATGTTAGCGATCTAAGATTGATTGGTTAGTTCTTGCCATACACGCCTAATTACTAACAGTTTATATACAGGCATACAATATAGTGCGGAAAGTGAAACCTACAGCAATTACAAGGCTTCAGGGCAGTTACAGTTATATCTGACTGAAATGTAAAGTGCGGAAAGTAAAAATCCTAATTAGGGCTATTACAATCCATAAGCAGGTACATAATCAGGAAATAAAGTGCGTGCGTGATAAAATTACAAACCATAGGCAGATATATAACAATATAAGCGCGCGAAGAATAGAAAGAGCGTCTAAACCCTAAAAACATTCCTAAATTAAAAGAAAACTTCTTTTTTGTGTTTTTTATTTATTAATGAAAATATTAAATTATAACGTCTTAGTTAACTAAATTGAACAAGAAAAGAAAAAAAATTAATTACAATTAATTATTATGAAACTAGTATTTTTTTGGTATTTTAAAAGAAAAAGATTTAAAATTTAATCCTAACTTCTAGTTAATTTTAATTTTCAAGAAAGAGGATTAAAGTAGTTAAACTAGATTAATTTATAAAATTAATTTTAATTATATAAAAAAACCTAATTCTATTTTTTTTTTGATTTTATGATTAAAATAAAAAATGATTTTAAAATAAACAAAAATAAAAAAACAAAGAAATTGACAAATGAAAAGAAATGGGCCTGAAGTGCATTAGCAATCTGGGGGGGGGGGGGGGGTGTTGGCTGAATTTGGCTAGGCCCAGATCTGTTGGCACAACGCTTGCATGAGATCCAATGTTGTTGCGTCTGGAAGATCCATCATGGGGAAGCACTGCAGGAGCGTTGGATCTGGAACAATGAAGATCTGTTGGCTGGATCTGAGGGTGCAAGGTATATGCATGGGATGGCAACACGTTGGATCTGAAACAAATTTGTTAGAAAATACAAAATATAGGATTCTGGGATCGAGCCCAGATCCTTCCTCTCACACACCCAATGCCTTTACCACCTGTGCTGCCAATTCATTCATAATTATAATGACCTAACAATATTATGTAAAACAATGATCAAATCCCAGTCATCAAAAAAATGCACGTCAGCAATTCCAGTGGACCAATCAAATTAGGTCATATTACCACGCAGGGTCTTAGTCTGGGTCAGAGA